AGGACACTTAATTGTGCTCATGAGGAACCTGTTCATGGAACAGGAGCCTGCTGTTCAGACAGAACAAGGACATACTGCATGGTTTAAAATCAGGAAAAGTGTGAATCAGGGTTGTATCCTTTCACCATACTTATTCAATCTGTATGCTGAGCAGATAATCTGAGAGGCTGGACTGTATGAAGAAGAATGCGGCATCAGGATTGGAAGAAGACCCATTAACAACCTCACTAACAATGTGCAGATGACACAACTTTGCTTGCTGAAAAGTGAAGATGACTGGAAGCAATTACTGATGAAGGTTAAAGACTACGGTCTGCAGTATGGATTACATCTGAACATAAAGAAAACAAAAATCTTCATATCTGGACCAATAAGAAGCATCATGATAAATGGGGAAAAGATTACAGCTGTCAGTGATTTCATTTCACTTGGATCTAAAATCAACACCCAAGAAAGCAACAGCCAAGAAATCAGACATCATACTGCATTGGGCAAATCACTGAAAGAGTGCTGAAGAGCAAAGATGTCTCTCTGAAGATGAACCCAAGCCATGGTATTTTCAATCACCTCATGTGTGCGTTAAAGCTGGAAAAGGAATAAGAAGTCCAAAGAAGTGGTGATGCCTTCGAATTGGGGTGTTGCTGGCAAAGGGTGTTGGTCAGCCAAAAGAACAAACGCATCTGTCCTGGAAGAAGTGCAGCCAGAATGCTCCTTAGAACAACAGCCAGATTCATCTCACCTACATTGGCCACGTGGTCAGACGGGACCTTTCTCTGGAGAAGGATATAATGCTTGGTAAAGTGGAGGGTGAGCAACAAAGGAGAAGACCCTCAACGAGATGGATCGACACAGTGGCTGGAACGGGCTCAAGTACAGCAAGGAACGTGGAGATGGCCCATGACTGGGTAGTGTTTTGTTCTGTTGTACACGGGGTGGCTTTGAGTTGGAGCTGATGTGACAGCACCTAACAACAAACGTCAGTGAAAATATACAAACAGCAAAAGATAAACCAGATGATTTCTTATGTGCATCAAAAGACTTCTCCAAAAGTGTAAAAAGAGAACCTATAGATTGGGAAAAAAAATATTCAGCAGTAACATACCTGACAAGGGACTTACCTCTAAAATTTATAGAAGACTCCAACACCAAAAAGACAAACAATCCAATTAAAACATGGGCAGAAGACATGAACACACTTTACCAAAGAAGTATTCAGGCAACCAACAAATACATGAAGAAACGTTCATGAACATTAGCCATCAGAGAGATGCAAATCAAAACAACAACGAGACATCATCTCACGCCAGGACTAATAGCAAAGTTCAACAAGACAGAAACAAAGGCTGGCAAGGATGTGGAGGGATTGGGACTCTCATTCACTCCTGGTGGGACTGTAAATTGATACAACCACTGTGAAAATTGGTATGGTGATTCCTTAAGGAGTTGGAAATAGAAATATCATTTGACCCAGCAATTCCATTAGTAGGTATATATCCTAAAGAAGTGGGATCCAGGACACAAATAGACATGTGCACACCCATGTTCATCACAGCACTACTCACAACAGCAAAGAGATGGAAACAACCTAAGTCCCCATCAACGGGAGGATGGATAATCAAACTGTGCTACATACACACAATGGAATACCATGCAACACTAAAGAATAACGTAGAATTTGTGAAATACCACATAACATGGATGAACTTGGAGGACATTATGCTGAATTAAATAAGTTAATCACAGAAGCTCTGGGAGCTTCTCTGGGAGCTTCTCTGGGAGCTCTGGGTGCATAGTGCCTAAGGTACTTGACTGCTAACCAGAAGGCTAGTGGCTCAAACCCACCAGCCACTCCTCAGAAGGAAGATGGGGCAATCTACTTCCATAGTGATACTGCTTTGGAAACCCAAGGAGGGGTCGCTATGTAACACAATCACAGAAGGACAAATACTGTATTAGTCCACTAATGTAAAAAGTCAAGGAAAGGTTAACATATAGAAGGAAACTTTCTTTGTTGGTTACTAAGTATGGGAGCCCATAGTCGTGGGGGACATCAAGCTTAACTGGTATAACATACTACACAAAAACACTGTCCTGTATCTTACTTCAGGAGCTCTGGTAGCGTAGTGCCTAAGGCACTTGACTGCTAACCAAGAGGCTGGCGGTTCAAACCCACCAGCCACTTCCTTGGAAGGAAGATGGGGCAATCACTTCCATAGTGATACTGCCTCGGAAACCCAAGGAGGGGTCCGCTATGAGACTATGAGTCAGGTCCAACTCAATGGCACATAACAACAACAACGTTTTACTTTGGTGATAGCAACTGGGGTCTTAAAAGCTTACAAGCAGCTATCTAAAATGCAACAATTGGTCTCTCCTCATCCTGAGCAAACAAGAAAGAAAGAAAAAAAAAGGTACACAGAAACAACTGGTCCAAAGGACTAGTGGACCATGGGAATCTAAGCCTACATGATGCTGAGACCAGAAGAACTAGATGGTACCTGGCTACCACTGTCAACCACTCAGAAAGAAATCAGAATAGGAGATCCTAGGTACACTGCAAGAAGTACATGGAACAAAACTGAAAACTGTAAAAAATACCAGCCTTACTGGTCTGATAGAGACTGGTAAAACCCCTCAGACTATGGCCCCTAGTCACCCTTTGGCCCTGAAATCACTCCTGTGGCTTCCAGCCAAACAGTAGACAGGCATATACGGTGAACATTTGTATCTGGTAAATATATTCCTTAGAACAATCAACCATGGGAGATCAGAAGGGCTGTATTTCCACAGGGATACAGTTCAGAGGGCAGGAATGTATAGGAAAGGAGGACACAGGGAAAAGGTAACCACAGGGAGAAAGTGGGAAGAGAGCTGTTACACCATGAGGAATTGCAGTCAATGTCATGAAACAAATGTTGAAACAAATGAACTGTTGTATGAAAAATGAATTTGCTCTGTAAACTTTCACCCAAATCACAATTCAAAAAAAACATTTTTTGTCATTTTACTTGGATTCACAATCAACACTCATGGAAGCAGCAGTCAAGAAATCAGATATCATACTGCACTGGGTAAACCTGCAAAAGACATGTTTAGAGCACTAAAGAGCAAAGATGTCACTTTGAGGACTAAGGTACACCTACCCCAAGCCACAGTATTTTCAATTGTCTCACATGCTTGTGAGAGCTGGACAACGAATAAGAAGACTGAAGAACTGAGATCTCTGAGCTGTGGTGCTGGTGAGGAATGCTCAAAGTGCCATGGACTGCTGAAAGAATTAACACATCTGTCCTGGAGGAGTGCAGCTGGAATGCTCCTTGGAAGTAAGAATGGCCAGACTTCGTCTCACCTACTTTTCTCATACTGTCAGAAGGGGCCATTCCCTGGAGAAGGATGTCATGCTTGGTAAAGTGGAGGGTCAGAGAAAAAAGGGAAGGTGGACTGAACAGTGCAGCAAGGATGGTGGGGCTGGTGCAGGATAGGGCAGTGTTTGTTCTGTTGTATATGAGGTTGCTGTGAGCTAAAATTAACTCAATGGCAACTAACAACAACATGTATTTTAGGAGTGGTGGTGTAGTGGTTAAAGTGTTCAGTTGCTAACCAAAAGGTTGGCATTTTTAAACCCACCAATCACTCCACAGGAGAAGGACGTGGTAGTCTGCCCATCCTTTCAAGATTACCGACTAGAAAACCCTATGGACCAGTTCTACCCTGTCCTATAGGGTTGCTGTAAGTGGCAATTGCCAGCAATGGATTTGTCTTTTTGTTTTATATTTTAAGAAGAAATGGTAGATATAACTTGATACATGTAACTGCTTTTTGATATATTAAATTTGCTCATCTTTCTACTCATATCATTTATCTACTAGTTTTACACTTCCTCATAAAAATCTAAAGCAAATGCTGTATGTAGCACACTATTTTGTCAACTTATCGATTAGTAATTAAAAAAAAAAACGGTTGTCACTGTGTTGTTTCCAATTCTTAGCAACCCTGTAGGACAGAGTATAAGTGCCTCATAGGGTTTCCAGGGCTGTTAATCTTTACAGAAGCGGACTGCTACATGTTTGCTCCACAGAGGAGCTGGGGTTTCAAAACACCAACCCTTTGGTAAGCAGCTGAAAGCTTATCCACTGTACCACCAGGACTGCTGATTTAGTTACTAAAGGTGGTTGTTGTCTGTGCCATCCAGCTGGTTTTGACTCATAGTGAACCCACATACAGCAGGACACATCACTGCCTGCTCCTGCCCCAGCCTCCCAATCACTGCCATGCTTGAGCCTGCTGTCACAGCCACTGTGTCCATCCACCTTGTTGAGGGCTGGGGTAGTTAAGAGTTATGTGTCAATGTAGCTGGGCCACAACTCTGAGTGGGCAAATCTGCTGCAAAAGACCTCTTTAAAGTGTTTAAAAGCAAAGATGTCACTTTGAGGACCAAGATGCACCCAACCCAAGCCAATGTATTTTCAATCACCTTGTATGCATGTGAAAGCTAGATAATAAATAAGGAAGATCAAAGAAGAACTGATGCCTTTGACTTATGATCTTGGCAAAGAATACTGAATATACCATGGAGTGCCAGAAGAAAGAACAAATGTGTCTTGAAGTAATGAAGCCAGAATACTTCTTAGAAGGCAAGACTTTATCTTATGTACTTTGGTCATGTTATCAGGGGGCAGCAGTCCTTGCAGAAGGACATCATCTTGATAAAGGAGAGGGTCAGAGAAAAAGAGGAAGGCCCTTAACGAGATGGACTGACACAATTTCTGCAACAGTGGGCTCAAGTGCAGCAGTGGTTGTGAGGATGGTGCAGCACCATGCAGTGGTTTTAGTTCTACTGTGCAGTGTTGTGTCAAGCTGGACCAACTCAGCAGTGCTTTACAGCAACGACATAGGCAAATGCCTCCCTTCAGATATGTCTGATAAAGGAAAATATCCTATGTTCTTACCAAAAAGACCAGATGTGCAACTGGTGAGCAAGTTTCTCTGGCCTGTGATACATTCTTCTCACTGCTCTGAGGCAACTTACTTGAACCTCCATTTTTACTTTTTAAAGACTCAACTGATGAATTGTGTTGAGACGGTGATAGAGATGTGGTTGTTATACAGTCATAATCCTGAGTAGAGTTATTTTCTGTTGTTTTCTCTATACCTATATTGCCCCACAAAACACATACAGCAAAAACAAAACACAAACAAACAAAAAACAGGTATTAGTACTGAGGTGTTGGTATCTGCTTTACAAATAGCATGGTTAATGTAACTTCTAAGAATACTGTAATTTATCAAACCCTCAAGTCTTAGCCATATTTTATAAGGATAAAATTTCAATAAACCAAGGCCAAAATTATAATATTAGTATAATCATAAAAACTTTTGAAACATTTTATTGAGAAGCATTTATACTCTGAACTGGAACCTAATATCCAGCCTGAGTACTGTCTTGAGTAGTTTAGACACCATGGCCAGCACTTATATGTGTATTTTAGAAATCATAGCATTTTATGGGTCTCAATCCCTCATGTATAATAAACGAGGAGCTCCACTGCTGCAATAACCAGAATAAACGACTTCTCAGAGAGAGTGCTGAAATCACGTCAGGCCATGTCCACCACGTGTCTGGACGCACATGCCGGTGGTCCTGTGCACCCTGCAGTGCTCTGGGAAGGACCCACTAGCTATTGTGAGGAAGCACGTGTTAACTGAGAATTGCTTTAACACTCAGGACTTGAAAACTTACCATTCAGAGATGCTTTAAACTGTCCTTAAAAGAGACTCAGCAAGATACAAAAAGCACAAACTCATTCTCCTAATTTCTGTTTTGGAGAAATACACATATGCCAGAGCTCCAAAGACTATGAACATTTCTTTGCCAATTATTTCTAAAATAAAAGCAAAACCCCCACTGTTGAAGCATATAATCCACCAGAATGCACCTTAGAGATTTTAGTCAATGAAATGGCCAAACAAAAGATAGAAATCCCCAATTATTTCGTGTTTTTACATACATTTTGAGCTAAAACTATGAAAATTATACATTTATCTGAGCTTTCACATCATAATTTATGACTGCATATGGTATGTTGCACACAGTGAAGCACTTTAGCTTCCCAACATGGACAACTTCAGTGTCCTAAGGACGAAGTCTACTTAGGAAAAACTAAGTTATGGTATTAACCAGTTTAAAAATCAAGTTTTGACTACCTGTAACTATACCCTCAAAAAATATTTTTGTAATCATATTTTCACATCATTAAAGTAATAGGAAATTACTGAATATTCAGCCAAAGGAAAAATCAACTGATACCTCTCATTACTCCTCTAGATGATGGCGTCCGAGACGAAGATGCAGGGGAAGCGTCTTCCTGTAGGAATGAGTTCCCCTGCTCTCTTGGTAGTTCTACTGGGGTTTCAGCAGGGAGAGCGTTCTGTGGTTTCTTTGGCAGCTTCGTGGGTTTACTTCTAGAATGTGTATTTTCCTCCTATATGAACAGAAACTTTTCTAATTATACTCAAATGTAAGTATTTATCCACCACTCATCTGTCACTTTGTTGTTCTGTGGTGGCTTACGCGTTACTATGCAGCTGGAGGCTACACCACCAGTATTTCAAATACGAGCAGGGTCACCCATGATGGACCAGTTTCAGCGGAGCTTTGAGACTGAGACAGACTTGGAAGAAGGAAGAGGTCATCTACTTCTCAAAAAATTTCCAGTGGAAACCTTATGAATACCAGTGAAACACTGTCTGATACCATGCCAGAAGATGGGCCCCCCCCCTCAGGTCAGCACTCAAAATACGACTGGAGAAGAGCTGCTTCCTCAGAGTAGAACCAACCTTAATGGTGTAGACAGAGTAAAGCTTTTGTGACCTCCATTTGCTGATATGGCACTACTCAAAATAGGAAGAAACAGCTGCAAACATCCATTAATAATTGAAACACAGAATATACAAAGTATGAACCTAGGAAAATTAAAAGTTGTCAAAAAAGAAACAATGCATATAGATCAATATCTTAGGCATTAGTGAGCTGAAATAGACTGATTGTGGCCAATTTGAATCAGACAACCATATGATCTACTGTACCAGGAATGACATATTCAAGAGGAACGGCATGTCATTCATCACCACAAAGATCTATCCTGAAGTATAATGCTATCAGTGATAGGATAATATCCATACACCCAAGGAAGGCCAGTTAATATTATCATTATTCAAACTTACGTATCAACCACCAAAGCCAAAGATGAAGAAATTGAACATTTTTACGAACTTCTGCAGTCTGAAATTGATCAAACATGCAACCAAGATGTGTTGATTATCACTAGTGACTGAAATGCAAAAGCTGGAAACAAATAACACCAGTAGTAGGAAATTATACCCTTGGTGATAGAAATGACTCGGGAGATCACATGGTATAATTTTGCAAGACCAATGACTTACTCATTTCAAATACTTTTTTTTCAACAACATAAATGGTGACTATATACATGGATGTCATCAGATGGAGTACACAGGAATCATATCTACTACACATCTGTGGAAAGAGGCGATGGAGAAGCTCCATATCTTCAGCCAAAACAAGGCCAGGAGCTGATTGTGGAACAGACCATCAACTGCTAATATGCAAGTTAAGTTGAAACTGAAGACAATTAAAACAAGTCCACAAGAGCCAAACTATGACATTGTTTAGATCATCTAAAGAGTAGATTTGATGCACTGAACACCAGTGACCAAAAAGCAAAGGAAGTGTGGGATGACATCATGAACACCATCCATAGATAAAGCTAAAGGTCATTAAAAACACGAGAAAGGACCTGTATGAAGAAAACTACAAAGACTACTTCAAGAAACCATAAGAGATCTAAATAAATGGAAGAATATACCATGCTTGTGGATAGGAAGATTGAACATTGTGAAAATGTCAGTTCTACCCAAAGAAATCTATACATTCAATGCAATCCCAATCTAGATTCCATCAACATTCTTTAAAAATATGGAAAAACCAATCACTAACTTTATATGGAAAGGAAAAAGATCTCCAAAAAGCAAGGCACTACTGAAGAAGAGCAAAGTAGGAGGTCTCACACTGCTGGATCTCAAAACCTACTATACAGCTACAGTAGTCAAAACTGCCTGGTACTGGTATAATGACAGACACATAGACCAAAGGAGTAGAACTGAGAACCCAGAAATAGATCCACTGACCTATGGTCAGATGATCTTTGACAAACGGCCAAAATCCATTCAATGGGGAAAAGAATGTCTGTTTAACAAACAGTGCTGGAAAAACTGGATATCCATTTGCAGAAATATGAAACAAGATCTGTATCTCACACCATACACAAAAACTAACTCCAGATGGAAGTTAAAGATCAAAGACTGAAAGGGGAAACCTAAAACTATAAAGTTCCTCAAGGAAAACTAGGGGCAAATTTAGGGGCCCTAATTTATAGCATAAATAGACTATCAAGCATAACCCAAAATGTACAAACAGGAGAACATAGACTAGATAATGGGACCTTCTAAAAATTAAATTTTTATGTGCTTCCAAAGACTTCCCCCCAAAAGAGTCAAAAGAGAACCTACAGATTGGGAAACAATATTCAGCAATGACATATCTGATAAGGGCTTTATCTCTAGAATTTATAGAAAACTCCAACACCTAAACAACAAAAAGACAAATAATCCAAAATAAAAATGGGAAAAGACATGAGTAGACACTTCATCAAAGAGGATATTCAGGTGGCCATCAAACATACGAAATACTCACTATCATTTGCCATTAAACCCACTGCCATCAAATTGGATCCAACTCATAACCACCCCTCCTTGGGTTTCCGAGGAGGTATGCCTAAAGCATTTGACTGCTAACTAGAAGGCTGGCGGTTCACACCCACCAGCCACTCTTCGGAAAGAAAAATAGGCAATCAACTTCCGTAGTGATACTGCCTTGGAAACCCAAGGAGGGGTCACTAGGAGTCGGATCCAACTCCACGGCAGTGGGTGTGTATCACTATGGAAGTAGACTGCCCAACCTCCTTTCTAAGGAGTGGCTGGTGGGTTTGAATGGCCAGCCTTCTGGTTAGCAGTCAAATGCCACAGGCACTATGCCACCAGAGCTCCTCAATGCCACCAGAGCTTCTCATTTTTCATTAGCCATTAGAGAGATGCAAATCAAAACAATGAGATACCATCTGGCCCCAACACTAGCAGCAAAGTTCAACAAGACAGAAGATAACAAATGGTGGCGAGGATGTGGAGAGACGGAGACGGAGACGCTCATGCACTGCTAGTGTGACTATAAAATGACACAACCACTGTGGAAAGCAGTATGGTGATTCCTTAAAAAGTTGGAATTAGAAATACCATTTGACCCAGCCATTCCATTAGTATTTATATATCATAAAGAAGTGACAGCCAGGACAAAAACAGATATATGCACACCCATGTTCATGGCAGCACTATTTACAATAGCCAGAAGATGGGGAGCTCTGGTAGCATAGTGCCTAAGGCACTTGACTGCT